AGAACTAAACTTCAAAGGACAAAACGAAGTATCCATTGCTACAGTTATAAAAATCATGTCATGTCTTGATGCCATGGTAACTTGTTTATCCTTGTCCCAAAAACGCTTTAGTTAGTATTTCGCAATTTCTTGTCTAGGACTTGTGATTACTTCGATATAGTCCAGTTCATTCGCGTGAAAAGTGGGTGGTCAAGGAAATATATTTAAATTGTGTTTATATAATCAAAGTTATAAAAATAACAATTCAGTAAAATGGGTTGAATTTAGACAAACAACTTGGACAAATATATTGGCTGAGATGAACTTTAGAAACAGCTCCAGCTTGGAATATTTTATTATTTTCTAACTTATTGTATTACTTGTGTTGTTAGAATGTGTAACAGTTATTGTAAGGTGTATAATCCTATTCGGCATGTCATGTGACGTTTATTGCGGCAATCTTTGTGATGTTTTAGATTAAAATTGTTGTAAACTATATTTTTAATATAATTCAAACGTTGGCTAGAGAGAGCTGCAAGGAACTAAAGGTCTTAATGATTATGTTAAGATCAGAAAGTTTAATAAGATGGACCTAGACCATTTAGAAAACTGAGGCGTAATGTGTTCCAGCACTTTCGAAACTAGAATACTGTATAAATACAGAATAGTTATAAAATGTAGTTTTTTTTTATTTTCAAGAAAGGCAGTGGACAATTCAGAATGTTATCTATCGCGATAAGTTGATGCGCTTTTAAAAGGCTAAAAATTCAAGGTAGTTGTGTAAATAACTAACAGTGACCACTCTGTACTCCGAAGGTCCAATAGTCAGAGATTTTTTGTTTTCGCAGTATAAGTCAAAATTGAATAAATAAACAAATTCGTAGGTCCATAATAGATAAATGCAATCTATATGAAAAGCTTAAAGGGTATATCATGGCGAGGGTTTAGGGTACCAGCCACCCTTTACAGATTGCTTTACAGAACTATATGAATCGACATTGTAGTGTACAGCTCATTGCATTGGCTCGGTGTCAAGATAATTATACTGTTTGTTTGTTTGGAATTAAGCACATAGCTACACAATGGGCTATCTGTGCACTGCCCACTACGGGTATCGAAACCATCAAATGCATTCAAACTTCAATAACAGATCTACTGAAATCACCTTTGTACCAGGAGACATGGTGTGGTTGTATATTCCTAGGAAGACCAAAGGTAAGTCTCCTAAGTTGTCTTCTCCATGGGAAGGCCCGTATGACATAATGGAT